AAGTAAATTGAATTAAACACACACACACACTAGGAGCAAATATTTGCAACATATATTATAAACAAATGATAAGATGCTGAACATCTAAAAATCTCCCAGAAGCTGATAATGGTGGTGTGAGAGGGTGGTACAACTCAAGAATAAAATAGATAAATATTATGAAGGCAAGTCACAAAAGAAGAGTAAGGATACTTAAGCAGTACACAGGGAGAAAGTTCCCTAAGAAAACAGCAATCAGTAAACAATTTAAAACTAGGAGACTTCATTTACTACTCATGAGTGTTGTTAGTGTTAACAAGGATTAGGAGAGTATAACAGCTCCATATATTGCCATAAAGGCTGAAAATAAACATGCCCTCTAGAAATGCTGATGTTGGTAACTTTTTATTGCAACGTATTTAAGAAAATTGGGCAGTGTATGTAAGATTAAATCTCAGTGGTAGGAACACTATTGTGTACTTCTTAATGGCCTATACTTTTCTGTTTGATCAATTTCATAGGCCAACAAATAGAAAAGAAACAGTAAATAGGTCTTAAGAAAAAATAAGTATATTGAGTCTACCAGGCAAAATAACAGTGCATCTGTAAAGCAGAGTAACAGAAAGAACATAACTTACATTGTTCGATTAGGACAGTTCTCTCTAACACCTTAACTTTTAAAACTCATACTTTTTATTTAGATAGATATTTCCTGAGGCACAACTGAGAAAAGAGCATTCGAGGCAAAGAAAGGACAGATATTAAAGCTCTGAGAAAAGTAAGAGTTTGAACATTTCTAGAAATAGAAAAAAAAAAGCCACTTCGGCTTGAGTACAGTGAAAGATGATATGGACCTGAGAGAAGATCACCACAGCAAGGAATATTCATTTTATTCACACACAATAAGAAACCAGTCAAATGATTTTAAGAAGGGAAATGCAGAGAACAAGTTTACATTTTAAGATTGCATTAGATTATGGGAAGACTAAAGGAAGACTCTAGGAGACACTAAATCGAAGGTGGTTGTTGTTCTTCAGGAAAGAAACGATGGTAGTGTAAGCAGAAGAACGTGGACCAATCTAAGATATTGTTTGAAGTGGAATCATTGAAATGGGAAAGGTTCCCTTGTCCCCCTTGCAGGGCATATGATGGGGGTGTGTAGCTCGCTTCTTCAGTGCCCTGCTGCTTAAACCTGTAGGGGAGTATACAGACAGCAGACTGTGGGACTCTGAAGTCACGGCAGTGTCTAGGGGTGAATGTTTACAACTCCTGAAGCCCCAGTGGGTGTGTAACAGGGTGCTCTCTTAGTTGCCATCTATAGGCAGCTTGTGTTAACCAGCTCAATTAGACTCCCTTATCACAAGGACAGAGGGATTCCTATATACAGGGCTTTCTTCTCTTAGTGTACTGGCAGAATCGGATCACATGTTGGCTTAGAGAATGAGTGCAACCTTTTGTTGTAGAAGTAGCTCTCAGGAGATCCAGGAGCCAGAAGGGAGATGCTATTCCCCTGGAGAAGAGCCTGACTCTTCTCCGACCACCCCAGCCAAACTCTGTGTCATTCCACTGGTGAATGGCCTGCCTGAGTTCTGGCATCTGTTGGTGTGCTCCTCCCCTGGTGTGCTCCTCTCCTGGTGTGCCCCTCTCCACAACCAGCCGCTTGTGTCTTCTTCCACTGATTTGCTTCTCTCGACATCTGGCCACCTCTGTGCATGCTAGGGTCTCGGGTTTTTATATACCCAGGATGAGGGAGTGGCAGGGTCTTGGAAAATGCAACATTTGGGCAGGAAATACCTGTTCTCACTGAAGTCCGTGGGGGTAGAACCCTAGCCAAGGACCTGCCTTTCTCTATCCAGCACTTCTCTTCCCACCTTCCATATCATTTAAAGGGACTGTGCTCTTTCCCTCCCAGCACTCCCATATCTTTGTGTCAGACTGCATACAGAAGGTAGAGAGGAGGGTTTTGAAGGGTGACAATAAGCCTTCTCACTTAGGCAAATGTAGAGAGACAAAGAAAACTGAAAAGGAAAAGATTCAAGTAAAGGGTAGAAGAATAAAGAAAGTCAAGTCACCAACATAGAGAGATATGTGTGAATACCCCAAACAGATACAAAACCAATAAATGATCAAAATATATCCAGCAGTACAATGTAATATATAGCTTACTTTCTCTTTCAGTATTTTTTAATATAAAAATGTTTACTTCTTTCAAAATCATTCATTTATAAAATTTGAGTGTTTTTTTATGTTGTTTCAATTAATTTTGATTCTTTCAAATATATATTAATTCATTTATCAGAATTTTAAAAATGTGCATATTCTATTAGAGATTGAATAGGCTATTAGCTACTGTAAGCTTCTATTGATTCTTTTGAAGAATATTAATGATTTTTTTTTTTTTTTTTGAGACAAAGTCTTGCTCTGCAGCCCTGCTGCAATATGCAGTGGCTTGATCTCAGCTCACTGCAACCTCTGCCTCCTGGGTTCAAGCAATTCTCCTGCCTCAGCCTCCTGAATAGCTAAGACTACAGGCATGCACCACCATGCCTGACTAATTTTTGTGTTTTTAGTAGAGATGCGGTTTCACCATGTTGGCAAAGCTGGTCTCGAACTCCTGACCTCAGGTGATCCACCAGCCTCGGCCTCCCAAAGTGCTGGGATTACAGGAGTGAGCCACCGCACCCAGCCGAGATTTGAAATTTTTTTGTTTTTTTTTTGTTTGTTTTACTTTGTTTTTTGTTTTTGTGTGTGTGTTTATTTTTTAGAGAAAAGAGAAAGACTTGCAATTAGGTGACGTCCAAGAAGATAAATATCATTTAAGACATTTTTAAATCAACATATTTTTCATAAGCTGTCCACAGAAGATTCATTTATTTTTAAATCACTCATTTGCTCTTTTAATGATATGATAAAGACTCTGTACCCTAAAAGTAGGTAAAAACAATTACAGTTATAAAATTAGCTAAGTTTTTGAGCACTTACCATATGTCAGACAATGCGCAAAGCAATTTAAGAGCCTCGTAACAACTCTTGTGCTAAGTATTGTTATTCTTCATTAACAGATATAGAAATAGAAGCAAAGTGGAAAAAATGGTGTACTTTGGAAAATAAGCCAAATGAGAATGCAGTTGTCTACGTGTAGTTCTACATGCCAGACAGCCAGACCTTTCATAAACCCAAAATTTGGAGGAAGAGTGTCCATTAAGGCAATCTTTCAGACATGGAATAGGAAGTGATTCTTATTTGGTTCCATATTATTGTAAAATAAGTCATCTCTCTCACCTATGCAAGTTATTTAATAGTAATTTTGGATCCAGGGAATCCAAAAAAGACTATATTTTTTGTTGTCATCATGACAGTTGTACAATAATCATATTTTCATTTCCAAAAGGCAGATTATTGGTCTTAACTGAAGAGGGTAGCAAACACACTAAAACAGACTAAAGTTGTTTCAGAAATCTTGTAAGAGACAATACAAGGGAACATATTTAGTATATGGATTTGTTAAGTAAGGCAGGTTTGTATTTATACAAGATGCCTATATTTGAAAACAACATAGCATGATAAAACTATGCTTTTTTAACTATTGTGTTAATATGTGTTACATTGTTATAATGAATACCTGAGCCTGGGTAAATTATAAATGTCAGAGATTTGGCTCATTATTTCACAGGCTGTACTAACATGACACCAGCATTTGCTCAGCTTCTGGTGAGCCCTCAGGAAACTTCTCCTCATGGTAGAAGGGGAAGCGGAAGCAGACCTGCCACATGGTGAGAGAGAGAGAAAGAGAGCAAGAGAACAGGGAAACAGGTGCCAGACTCTTAAACAACTAGCTCTTGCATGAACTGATAGAGTGATAACTCACTTGTTACCACAAGGATGGCAAAGTCATTTATGAGAAGTCCACTTTCATGATCCAAACACCTTCCACCAGGTCCACCTCCGACACTGGAGGTCACATTTCGACATGAGATTTTGAGGGTACACACATCCAAACCATGTCAGTTTTCATACTATAGTCAACCTAAATATGTTATGTTTAATACATCAGTTTCTACTTTATACTTATAGATACTGATGAAAATACCCAGAGGAAAAATGATTCTAATATTCATGCAGTTAAAAACAAAACAAAAATAAAGTTATATATTAGTAGTTTGACAAATTATCAAATCCATAGACTTTTCATAAGGAGTAATATATTTCACTTTACCACAGTAAAAGATTGTAAGATTGCATTTGTCTTAGGACATCAAAAGCTTTTACTTCCTTAAAATTGAACTCATAGGTTACTATTTCCTTCCAATTTTTGAAAATCTCAGAGCACAGAACACTCCACACACAAAAAAAGTTAGTATTTTTATCTTTTCTCTGTAAGATTCCCTTCAGAATCTATGTAAGGTTCTTTTCTGCCAAAGGAAGATATGCTTGCCTATAAAAATGTTTAAGTTGATTTTTCTTATAATATCAGGATCTATGAAATACTAAATTTACTATAGTTCCTGTCTCTTTTTCTATTCCAAGCAATGTTTTCAAACTAACAAACTATGGATTTAGCTTATTCTCAGCAATGCCCAAACAATATGAACAATCTTTTTATCTTATTGTTTGACAGCATGTATTGATCCATATGCCTAGTCAGTTTAAATGCACTATTGCACCATAATATATAAGATATAACTGGTCCCGTAAGACTACACTGCTAGAAATAAAAACAGCACATTTCCAAATATGAAAATTATTTTTAAACCTCCCTTACTAATAGCATCATTTGAAAGATATTTGTTATCTTTAAATGAAACTTTTGAATTCTTTATAATGGTATGAAGTCTTTACTATTCTTAAAGGGATCTTTCACCATTCAGATGACCTTTGTTAGAATCCTAAAAAGTTTGGCTATTTTTGGTTTTCTTTTGTTAGTTTTTACATCTAAACAATTTTTCATTTGCACAAGAAGGGACTAGAGATCACACAGGACTAGCATATTTTGGGGCATTGGTATTCCTTTTAATCTTTACCTTGTAGCTCATATCAAAGCTGTAATTGTTTGCTAGCCAGCAAAATCTAATGGCTCCCTCTGGTCAAAAGCTGTCAACAGCAATCTATCCAGCAGTGGGGGCATTGCCTGAAATAGAAAAAGCATCACATATGGTCGTATTCCTTGGTGAACTACAAACAAGGTAAGGCTTAACATTTTCAAACACAAAACCATTACTAACTCCACATAGTAAGACTGGGGCACTAACATATCACTGCTAGAGAATTTTGCTTTTTGGTTCATTACTGTCCTGTAGGTCAAAGAATATAGCAAGATAGTACAAGTATTTACACTGTTTTCTTTTTTTTTTCTTCCCTTGATTTCACAGTATAGCAATAAGTCTCTCTTAGATGTTAGATCATGATTTATTAGGTGTCCAAAAGCAAACCCATACTCCAAAATGTATAAAGAAAACAGGCCTCAAATGATCAGTCCAGATTTCCTGCTAAGTGTAAAGACTGCTAAATTCATTAGGAAATCTAACAAAGAAAAATACTACGTTTTTTTTTTTTTTTATTTGCTCCAAAAACTGTAAAGTTCTGTTTAGAAATTTCTGAGGTAGTTGGTTTATTTAACATTTGTATTATCACAATAGTATTGTATAATCCTACTGACACAGTTCAGTGTAATGATTCTAAACATCAAACCAGCTATCGAACATCATGCTGAGTTTCCCATCCAGGCTAATTAGAATTCTTGTCTTCTTAAAACATTTGCACTCTTGGCATTCCAGTGGTTTTTCCACTTGTGGCTGGGCCTTTGGATATTTCTAAATCAGAATGAGCTGCATGCCGCTAGCTTTACATGTCTCTTGGTTCCTTCTGCCCTCTCACCTGAATGTCAGAAATCTTTTAGTAATTCCTCAGAATGAAATCAAAGAGTTTCTCTTAGCTCAGTTTAGAGGCATCCAAATGGAAGCAGCAAACTAAAAACAGAACATTCACCCAGTAGTTTTTATACATTCTAGAATCTCCTCTTTGTTAACCCACTTTATATAATATATAATATAGGATGGATTGTGGATTGTTCTCTTATTAGAAGCAAAATAATTCATATATAAATAAGCTATGCTGCACTTCATGTAGTGCATAAAATATGTGTTCAATTTCAATTCATCTAAAAGAATGATAACATAAGAGTAGACTCCAGGTAATAAAAGGAAGAAGAAAATAGTCTTGGATCAGTAGAAGAGGAACTCATTTTGTACACATTTGACATGAAGAATAGACAGTGTACAACGTAAAAGTAAGAATTTGTACTGCTCTCTGTCTATTATGAGACATACTAAGGTTCTGAAAGTTCCTGCAACAGAAGCATATGGTGTGTGTTTTTACTAACATTTTTCTAATGCAAACATTTCCATGTACCACTGGTAGGAAATTCATTCCTCAATATAAAGTTTGGGCAACTCATTAAATGTTGTGTCCTTTTGTGAAAGTCTTCAAAGCATACAGGCCCAATTCCATTTCAGAGATTAATATAAGCAACTGATGAAAAGTTTTATTGGAATCTGCCATTGGTTTAATCACACTAATTCATCTCAGAGCTGAACTAAAAATGGGATAAGTCTTTAGTAAAATTCAAATGCAAAAGGATGGCTTTGGTTAAGTGAAAGTATGACAACATATTTGGTATTTTGTCTGCTTTCCTGACACATTTCGCCAAGGTTCAGTGAACTGGTAGTATGTTTTGCTCATTATAACATCTTCAAGTATTTCTAAGATGTCTGGGGTTTGGCATGCTCCAAAGATACCTTGCCAAGCTCATTTTCCACTATTATTTACACCCATATATTTTTTCAAGGAAACAGTTTGAATGTTTCTGATTAAATAGAGCTATTGAATGTACAAATGGCCCCATTTAATACACTATAAGTAACTTAATTCAGTTTTTGGGGGAAAAATAAAAAATAGTTTACATTTGCTAATAATCTAAATTTTGAGAGATTTGGATTGTATCTAACCTTAAATCAAAATATCGTTAAATCCTATAATTGAATAAGACACATTATTATCATGCTTAGCCTCCATGCCATTTTCCATTCATTTTGTCATCTCTGTCCGATTTACCGTATCTCATCCTATACAACATTTTAAGTACTTTAACATATGTATGTCATTTCACTACCAATGCTTTCCTGATTACCTTTTAAGTAATATAAGTTGGTAATAATAGTAATTGTTTACAGAGAAGGCTACAATTCCTCTTGCCAAAAACCATACCAAATAATAGGTGGAATTGTTTCTGCGCTTTCCTTAGGCACTATATGTTAAATAGTATATTAAATATAATGTCTAACTGTGTATAAGTATATATCACATGATACTGCAGATGGGCAGAGAAGTGCTGCGTCGAGAAGGGTGGTTCCTTGGCCAAAGCTCCACCCTTGAGTCTGTGCCCACTGACCTACGTGAGGACAAGCACTTTTGTTTTCATGCCCAAATGTTGCTTTTCTAAGACCACTCTGGCCTACCACGCCCCCATAACCTATAAAAACCCTGAGATCCTAGTGGGCACAGACACAAGCGGCTAGATGTCTAGAGGAACACCCTGGCAGAACCCATTGTCAGATCCTGGAAGGCCATCCATAGAGGAATGATGCGGACGTCAAGGCAGAAGGAGAATCTGGCGGCTCAATTCCAACTTCCCACTCCATTCCCTGCTGTCCTCCCCATTCAACTCAGTGAGAGCTACTGAGAGCTACTTCCACTCAACAGAACTTTGCACTCATTCTCCAAGCTCATGTGTGATCCGATTTTTCCAGTACACTAAGGCAAGAACTCAGGATACAGAAAGCCCTCTGTCCTTGCGAATAGGCAGAGGTTCTAATTGAGCTGATTAACACAAGCTGATTAATGCAAAGGAGAAACAGATTCCAGTTGACTATTTTTAGAGTCTTCTAAGGAAAGAGACAACACAGGCTCCCAGAATATATATTTTTTAAAACCCACGATAATCTAAACAAATTTGAAGTGCTTGTTCCTGAATTATTTTATTGAAACTTATCAGCATCTCCTCTATCAACATTTCTTTCCTTTTGAAAGGCACTCTACATGACTTTGTGGGAACCTATGGACAGTGTTCTTCAAACTGAGAGACATGTGTACCCTGGAATACATACTTACCAAGGGAGAAGCTGACATGGACACTTTTTAGGCAGTCACTTTCCAGATCATATTCTCACTTTCATAGATACTATTTGCTAAAATCTATTTGCCTGAGAAGACACTTGCTATAAAGATGTTCTGTCAGTTCCCACACTTTCTGACCAACTCCCTGCCATCATTCATTCTCACTTACTTTGTACTACTAAACAAAAAACAATTAAATTTACTGTTGCTTAAGAAGCATCCTTTAACTTCTAACATGTGTACGAAAACTAAGACATTTGACAGATCTTGATCATGTCAATTTTTAGACTTCCCCAAAATTGAAAGTGTGCATGACTTTGCTGATTGGATAAAAAAAGCTTTTACAATTCGAGTGCTTTCCAATATTTGCTTTCAACAAAATTGAAAGATGGTCAAATACGGTTGTCAGTTAATAAATCATTAAAAGTAATGTTTGGTAAATGATCACAATACAGTTTCCACATACAATACAAAAGGGATTTAGGTAATTAAGTGATACAACTATGTTAGAATTCCTTGTATTCCCATCTATTTATTTATTTGAAATATGAAAAATGTTAGTAACTACTGACATTTCTGAAAATAAAAAAGGGAAAACAATTAAGGCTGCATCTTGGATGATTTTAGAAACAAGTCATATTTACCCATGCATGCATAAAATAATTAGAGGGGAAATATCCATGCTCTCATTAAAAAGTGAAAAAAAAGTTTAAAAATTATTTATCAAAACAAGTGCTATATATATTCAATTATTCTATTAAAACTGAATACAAAAATATTTTTGAAACTCATAGTTTACAATTATCAATTTAAAAACTTTTTCACATATTTTTGTTGAATGTGATTTTATTTTTTTGCAATTTGCCTTGTCTGCCTAGAATAAGGGAACAAGTAAAAAGAAAAATTGTTTAAATCATTCATTTGTCATTAAAATGTCTACTGATTATATGATGGTTTGATATGATTTGATATAATAAGTATTAATACTTGTATCATTATTAAGGCAAGTTTAGACCCTTACCTTAATAATGATATTAAGTATTAATATAATTATAAAAATAAAAGTAGAGGAAAACAGAAAACTACAGATAACTTTTTTAAAAATTAAGCAACTATAATTCTAGCTGCCATAACATATTTTCAATGTTTTATCTTATAGTTTGAGTACTATTTTTATAAAATATAGCAATCTATATTAAATCATTAATAAATTTTATTTTAAAATTATAAATAAACTTTAATTAAAATTAACTAATTAAATTTTGATGTATTCTAAATTTTATTTCTACAAATTTCAAGGAAAAATGTATGACAGAGGGATCATCAGTGTTAACTTGTTTAGTGACAAATTATAGTGCAATTAATGGTGGGTCAAACTGATATTACATAAATTCTGCTATGATGTACTATGAAGGATAAAATTTCATCAGTTTTTATTTTAGTCAAAAATGCTTCATTTGATTTTATAAAGCTTTTAAATTTAACTTCTAGCAAAATGAAAAATAAAGTAAAATACCTCAAAAGGAATCAAGCAGACAAACCCAAGAGGCAGGACATTCTTCTGGACAGCTGCTTCATTAATTTCAACAAGTTCATCTGACTAAAACTGGTACCTTACAATAGATATTCCAGAAATAGCCCAAATTGTGAATATAAATTTGGTATAAGACAAAGGTGAGACTTCAAGTCAGTGAGTAAAATATACTAGTTTTTAATAATTAAGATCTTGTGATGAAATAGCCATGTAAGAAAAATAAACAAATTTTGTTCCAGTCTTACCTATTACGCCAGAATAAATTTTAAATGGATTAAAAATCTAAAATGAAAAAACTATATACCAGTGCTAGGTAAAAACAAAGGTTAATTTCACTGTACATCTAGAATGGAGAAAATTGTTCAAACTATGGTAATTTATACACAAAACAGTAGACAATATTGATAAATTTGTTCATATAA